AAGACAATTAATCGAGGCGAAATTGACACTGACGAACGCTGAAAAAAGCGCTATGAACGATGCGCTTGATGACAGATGTGAGGTCGGACACAGCTGAACGAGATGGAAAAGATCGCACTAGGTGGCCTAGGAAGGCTCTGTTTCTAGGCCAGGAGAGTTTGAACCAGGAAATTCAAGAGTAAGACAAGAGGTTCATGGGAATTAGGAGAATCAAGGTCAAAGGGAACAATAGAACGAATGGCAGAAGGACGCCATAACCCCTATCTTTGCTTATTTATTCATTTTTGAACAAATAAATATAAGAAATGATATAGTAGTGCAAGTCCTGCGGTGATTCTTGGCGCTGAAACGGTGGTAGGCTGTGTGGTATATTCAGTGAAGCACTTGAGGCAACAAAACTGAGAATCAACAGGACATACTTCCTTATTAGGGAAGCATGAGGGATGAGTACCTCTGCAGAAAGCCGAAGGCGCGCAAGATCCATAAGCGAAGCAAAAATTTGATATACCGGAATTTGGGTGGCTTCCAGCCAAACTATACCCAACAGGAGCTAAGACATCAATATCATATGGGAACTGGGCCATTAGACCCTTCAAGGTAACCTCAAACGGTGCAAGATTACCTCAAAATGCTCAAATCTGCGCTGTCCCATTTTGGAGTTCTTCCTGCACGAGAAAGTTGTAATTAGCAGGTACCTTGTTAGGTAATTTGGGGCCTCATTCGATCGAACCATCTCTGAATTGGTTTCAGAAGCGTTGAATGAGATGTAAGGGTTAATTTCAATGGAACTTCCTGAATGCAAGCCGCCGTTTCTCGAAACAATTCCAACTAAAGCCCTGGAAATCCCATTCTATACATAGGAGTGGAGTGGGTTTTGGTCTGGCAGATTCCATATTAGATTAGAGGGAAGCCAGAACCCGAACAAAGACTGAGACCATAGCTAGTAACAGCTGAGCCTCGCCAGGATGCGCTCCGGAATGCTTCACAACTACCACAAGTACCCAGCATATTTCAGGCAAACACTTGGAATCGAACTGTATTGACGCTGGGTCAGCAAGTCTACCATGCGGACAGTCAATCTTCAAAAATGAGTGGGAGATCAATGCACGGCGCATACGGCTTCACATGAATACAAGGAACACTTATCGCAGAGGCTTGGCGTTTATACTCTCTTCCTATCGAGCAGTAAAATACAAGGGAAAATGAATGAGGGACAAATAGGCGACTCTGGAGTGCGCCATGCATTTGGTTTGGGC